TGCGGGCGGCTGATAAAGGGGAGCGTGGGCTCTCCTCCAGCGGTGGGTGTGGTGGGAGATGGGGCAGCAGATAGTCCCGGGGGGCTACAACCTGCCCGGTGCTGAGAAAGGCTGCCCTGTCCCTGCTGGGGCTGAGAGGTGCTCAGCGCTGGGGTGAAGGTTTGAGAAAGCCCCAGGGCAGCTGGTGCAGCACCGCCAGAGCACGGAGCCAAGCCCGGGCTGCCAAGGGTGCCTCTGCTCCCTGACACTTGCAAGGATGGACACCCGCCCCAGCACCACAGCCACCAGTCACCACCAGGGAACAGCTGGTGAAGGTGGTGAAGGGCCCAGAGAACAAGTCTCACAAGGAGCGGCTGAGGGAACTGGGACTGTTTGGTCTGGAGAAGAGGAGGCTGAGGGGAGACCTTACTGCTCTCTACAACTACCTGAAAGGAGGTTGTAGTGAGGCAGGTGCTGATCTCTTCTCCAGAGTAACTAGCGATAGGACGAGAGGCAATAGCCTCAAGTTGTGTCAGGGGAGGTTCAGATTGGATATTGGGAAAAATTTCTTTACTGAAAGAGTGGTCAAGCACTGGAACAGGCTGCCTAGGGCAGTGGTGCAGTCACCATCCCTGGAGATGTTCAAAAAATGGGTAGACGTGGCACTTTAAGAGATGGTTTAGCAGGCATGGTGGTGTTGGGTTGACGGTTGGACTTCATGATCTTAGAGGTCTTTTCCAACCTTAATGATTCTATGATTCTATTCTGTACCAGAGGCAGGAGAGACTCCAAATGACTCCGGAGAGAGAGGGGTGCCCTCCAGCCCCCAGGGTTTCTCCTGCAAAGCACCACAGGCATCACGACCCTGTACGCCCACCACACCTGGACACAGCGAGGAGGGGAAGAGAAAGCTGGTCAGGGCATCACTGACCAGCCCGATCTACCTTTGCATGGAGCGGGGTGTTGGAGCAAGTTGCACCCTTCCAGCCAACATCTCCCAGACATAGCTGTAGGCACAGCTCTGCTCTGCAGGGAGCTTCTGCTCCCTGGGGAGCTCAGGGGAGCGGGGTCATGGTCGGGGGGAGCGGGCGTCAGGGCACACAGATGTGGATTAGCGTGTAAAGCACCAGGAAAAGACAGAACCAAACCCAGCACAGACTTGGGATGCTCCAAACCCAGCCACAGAGGACCCTTGTGAGGTCCTTATGGACATGGTGTGTGCATGAGAGGCAAGGTGTAAGAGCAACGCTGGTGACAGGGTGTGTGTGGAGGGGACAGGGCTGGCAGTTGTCCCCACTGCCTCTGCCAGGCTTTCGCTCCCAGCTGCTCCCACGCCGTGTTGTGTCCTCAGGAAGGACACGGCGTGTGGCAGCAGGCAGTGTCCTGGCTCCGCAGCGCTTTCCCAGGGCTCTGCCTGGCCAAAGAACCGCTGAGCTCCAAAGTTTTGTCCCAGCCATTTGTCCCCGCTGCCACAAGATGGGGACCTCCAGCCGTGGTGCTTTATCGGGGCCAGCAGAGGGTGCAGAGGGCCAAGCCTTGGTCCTGCCCGAAGGCTGAGCTGGAGCCTCCGAGCAGGGAGAAGCAGCCTGCCAGGATGAGCTTCCAGCCAGCCCCAGGTCCCGAGCACACTGGGGACATTGGTGCCAGCTCGGAGGGGTGCGGGAGCCCTCCCCAGCAGCCCAGTTCCAGTGCTGGGTGCCCCAGCAGCCGGGCACCCCATGCCTCCCAGCTCATAGCACAGGGCCGTATGAGACCCGGGCTCCCTTCACTGGGCATCTTGTGGTGGCCATGGCTTCGTGTGCCCCAGGACACAGCCTGCCCCATGGGCCAGACACGCCGGCAGCCGCTTTGCACAGGTTTGCTCTCCCTGCG